ACAGTTAAATGTAATTTATTCATAAAGTACTTAACAATTAACTGTTCTATATCTCAATAAGTCATGAATAATTAGTATAGCCTATGTTTAATTCTACATGGCACACAACACACGCAGTAGAGATGTTGATGTTTTAATTATATATAGGCCTATATGTATGTATGTCTTTCTTTTTAACAGTATAAACTGACTTATATAAGAAGTATTAAGATGGAATGTGTTATTCTAAGGCTACAGATGCACATACAAACAAACAAATGAAGATTATTATTGTTTGTACTTTATCTAATTTATTATTTAGGCAAACGTCGGTACAAACCTCAATGAGATTAAGTACGAAATTGTTCCACAAACCGGAGGCATCAATTATCTCTAACGAAAAAATGAAATTAAGACATTGACACCGAAACACACATACTAATTTTTATTTTTCTGAACACATACAAATGCAGTTACAGAAAAAAGATATACACATACAATGCACTGAAACACATTATTATTTTATTGTTTAGTATTATTGGTTTTTTTAATTTTTTTAAACGTTTTTTTTTCTGACTGAGTGGACAAGAATGGAAAAAAATATGTATATTGTTTTTATATTAACATGACAGACAAGCTGTTTTCTTAAAAGTTATTCTATATCAGTATTAAGAAATATTGAAAAAAGATTTCACAATGCTACAGACCAGTTATCACCTTTGTAAATTTAAATATCACTTTAACAGGAATAATAATCATCATTTTTTCTTTTTTTTTNTTTCTTCGTCAGCTTCTCAAAGAAAGTCCTCCCGGGTGGTACCCCTCCTTGATTGTTCGTGTGTCGCGTTGCCTTATCCCATTAAACCAACCCAAGATAGTCTTTTTCGAGTTTAAAGTCTAATATTAAAGGCTAAATATTATCAAAATTTACTGTATTATCTTCAAATGCGAACATTTAAATTAGTGTATACTGAACGAACATTATTTATCAGTCACGTCAAAGTATCGGAGAGAATTTTCAAGCGGTTCTCTTGAATATAGAGATTTGTATATTTCTAGATATATCTACTATTTGTATGTATCCGTGATTGTAGAAACCGCTGATAAAGAGGTGTTAACATTTGATGATAATTTATTAAATCTACTTACCAGTTTCGTGGGTAAAGACACTTTGGCATACAGTACAGGGCCACATTCTTAGGGATGAAGTGACAGAAGCTGCCTCTGGATGGCTTGTGATGTGTTTTCGGAGAGAACCTTCGTTAACATATGTCTTCCCACATACTGGACAAGGATGGTTCGTGGTTCTTCTTTTATCTGGAATTTCAGAGAAATGTAGGATTAAATAAATTACCAGCAAACGGTAACGGTTCGACTTTTATCAAGAGAATATCCTAAGATCTCACCATTTATTTCTTAATGTCATTTAACATAAAGTGATAATGAAATAAAATTAACCCATCAGAGATATATCTTGTTTCAATTGGTCTTCAATGACATCATTCATTGTTTGTTGTTTCTTTTCAATAAGATAAGTGACATATTATTGTCATTTGTCTCACTGAAAAATGATTCAGGAGAAGTTACAACTTTCCTTTTGACTAGAAGACAGATTTTCTTTTCAATAGCATTGATTTGTTCAAATTGGTATTAATTTTTGGCCATTCTTTTGTAGAAATTTGGCTGATTTTCAAAAGGATTTTAACCTTGACACTGTCCTCAAATGATGCCAGAATTTTTGTAGAAACTAGGTTATTCTTTTCAATTCTTCAACTAAAAGTAATCATTTATTATGAAAAATGCAGTGAATTCTTCAGCAAAGAGTCATTTTATTTTCTGAAGAAATTCCTATTCATTGCACAATCGTTTGTTAACATTACTTCTTTCTTTTTTTTTAAACAGATGACATTAAACTATTATGTAAGTATAAAGACATGAACAGTTTCAATATAAAGCTATAGACTGAATATGATTGATGCCATTTTCTTGTTCAAGAACTTTAGTAAATGTTTAACTATAGGCCTATAAACGTTGTTAAAACAATAAATATTAATTTTTTTTAATTAAATAAAGATAAAAATTAATTTTTATCTCTGTAAATTCATATTTTTCATCGTTAAAAAATACGCAAATTTGGAACGAATGAGAGCCTTTTTTAATCGATATTTTCCTTTAAAATAACGTAAAAATATATCCGAAATTTGTAAATAATTTTAACCATCGAAAATCATTAAAAACTTTAACAAATATTCATAATTTCTGGCTGTAAAATAGTTTTTTTAGACATGATTTTACTGACATTTCTAAGCGTAAAATTAAAATTTGAGAAAAGAGATGTCGGAAAATAAAGGACCCAAAAAGCATATTCTGTTATCAAGAATATTATGAAACATATGAACATAATGTTTTTTTTTTTTATAAACTTAGAATAATTTCTATTACAAACATAAATATAATTCTTACAATCTACACGTGTAAGTGTGGGTGCGTGGACGTGTTCAAACCCTTTGAGAAAATGTGTTTTGTGTGATAAAAATCAACTAAAAAATAATTTTTAAAAAACAAGAAAAAAAAGACATGCCTTTTGAGTCCTTTTCCAAAAATTATTAAAAAAATTAAAATAAAAATTAATTAAAAACAATTATTTGTATAAACATTCAGGATAAAATTTTTCAATCAAATTCTGCAATTAAAGATTAAGTTAAACAAGACAAAACACACAAAAAAAGTAGTTTCTATGAGCTACTTCCAAACGTTGTGAATTCTTTTGAAATGGGACTCAAAAGGTGAAATTGTTCCCTCGTCCATCAAAGGGTTTGATGTATATATTTTTTGATATAGGAAAAAAATCCCATCCTTTTTAGTTATTCTTTTATTAAGAGTTAAATTCTACAAAAAACCACATGTTCAATCTGATCCACATCATGAGTCATTTTCATTGCTTACACTCGATAATAGGAAATATTTGCCAATAACATTAAACTCAGCTAACAATTCCATAAATTAAATCTCTTTTTTTTAAATTTTAATTGCAGAGAATCGATATACAAAGAATTTTCAATAAAATGAGCTCGATAAAATATCTTTTTTTTAAACTCTGCAATAAAAAATACACATTTAAAGAAAAACAGAAATATACTTTGGTCTATTATATATAATATATTTTGGAAATAATAAAAAATTCCTTTTTATGATATATATATATATATTTTTTTATTATTTTGCATTATTGATCATCGACATGTTTGCAACGCGTTGTCAATCACAACGTTTATAATGCATTAGTGCCTAAAGTATTGATGCCCTAAGAAAATCTGTTTAATAAAAGGAAGGCCTGGACACTAAACTAAATAAAAAGGACCACGATATTGTTAAAAAACCGAGCCAAAGAATAGAAAGATCAAATTTTCTTTTTTGTATATATTAAAATGATAACACGAGAAAATAGACCCAAAATGGCGAACTTCAAAGAGTTTTCTTAGAACATCAGCACTTTACGTGCACCGTTTTCGGTTGGAATAACACTGATGATCACTATCATATATACTTTTTTTTTTCTTTAATATCGTTTAACATGCAAGAATGATCTTCAATCCAACATTTACTTGTCCATTCCTAAACCATTTTCTGTACAACAACCACGCATTGAGTGATTTTAAATCAATGCTATCACAGAACCAATAGCTTTTAAGCCATACAAGATACTTTTATTATAGTCACCAAAGTGACTCCAAAACAGCACACAAACTAGCCTTTTCTTCCTCAATCATCCTCATTATCGTATTATTAAAGTTTTATTTATTATTATTTTTTTTTACTTTTTTTTAGATTTTTTTGAAGCAAATTGTAATTTGTTTTACTATCAATAAAACTACATTTAATGAGAAATAGATAGAGAGAAAGAGAGATTCTAATTATGACAATTATAAAAATCTCTTCTAGTATTTTGTTATTGAGAAAAATGATCAAATGAAAATGATACGATTTGAGCATATATTGATTCTTTTTTTACTATGTACAGTACAGAATTTGAGGTATTTTTTCTTATTTTCTTTTTATTCAAAAAATTCATTCATCGCTAAATTCTTTAAACAATGCTGCCTGAGTTTATCAGGTATCTGGATATTTTTTTTTTATATCAGGAACTATATCTTTGTGAATTTTAAAGGAACGTTTCCATATATATATATATACTTTTTTTTAGTTCATTTCGGCAATAAAAAAACTAAAATTGCGTTTTTTAAGCGTATACATCGGAAAATGAATATATATTTTTGTAATTTTTTTCCATTCTTTCATAATCTACTTACCTAATTATGTATTTCTAGTAAACAAACAAAAAGTTAATTACCCAATTAAATTGAAAAAAAAAACAAATAATAATTTTTCATATAAAAATTGCTAAATTAAAATAAAAATAAAGTTTTTTTCTTTATTCTTTTTCTTCTAAATAAATTATAATAACATCGGGGATGGATTTTTTTCTTTGCGCTTTTAATAAAATAAAATAAAATAAAATAATAGTAATAATAAANATTTGTAGGGTCTTTCACCTATTTTAAAAAATATATATATATATATATAAAATACAAAATTAATAAATAAAAGGATCGATTATAAACATAATTTCTTATTTAATAATAATAATAATAAATTTAAAAATTTTCTTGATTCATATTTCTTCCAGAAGATGGCGCTAATATGTCAGCAGGCCGCACAAAAGAGAGTAGAAAATGTCACATTTTTGTGTTACGGTTTATGAGGGACTGACAAAAATTCGTGCAAAAATTAAACATATTCATAAAGGCGAGAATCTTTAAAGAGAATGAAAAATTTCCTTCATTGTATTGAGTTCATTTGCATAATATAAAAATTGAAAAAAGTGTTCTCATATCGGTACGCCGGAATTTAAAAATATATATACACATACATATACATATACATAAAAAAAAAAGCTATAGAGTCGTTAATTTCTCTATTTCGCCGGTTGTTCATTACTAAGACAAGGTTTTTAATTAAATCGCATCTTTCCCGAAACTCTCGATGACGTGCGCGTCACGTGATCGATCGGGGGAGGAGGAATAAAAACACCCCTCTGACGTCAGCGGCGAGTTTTATTCGATAAGAGAACGGAATTTTGTAGGAACCTTACACAAATAATTGATACCGAAATTAAAATCATGCTTCGTTTATATAATTCCAATCAGATAGAAGTGGTTGTCGATTATAAAAGAGACTCTCTGCTTCTAAAAAACGGAGGGGAAAAAAAAAAGAAAAAGTAGGAGCCACCCCAATGCCTCTTTCGCTATGCGTTCGGTCATTCATCATATTCGACTGTCATGTCTCCTCTTTTATTCTTTCTTAGCAAAAAGTAAAAAGATCTCGAGAGTCGAACCTCTACTTCCTTATTGGCAGGATGCCATTTGGTCTATTTAGTGATTGGATACGGCTCTGTCGCCAACCCAGGAAAAAAAAAAAAAGAAAATAACTAGAAAAATCAAAAAATATACTTAAAAAATTCGGAAGAATATCAAGACACAAAACAGGATTTCTCCAAGTTTTTCTTTGATTTAAGAATGGTAACGAAGGCGCGAAAATTTGTATAGTTTTAATGAATTCCACTTCTTTTATATCAGTTGATGGTTCGAGTTTTCAAGGATGTCTTGTTGTCGTGTTTTTATTTTTCGAATTTATTTACTTATTTATTTCGAATTTTGGCCTGGAAATAAATATAACTCACGCTCTATAAACTAAACTTATTTAAATGCATTATAATTACTTTAAAAAAAAGAAATAAAATTAAAAAAAAAAGTATATAGAAAGAGGGGATGCAATAAAGTTTGAAGTAGATGGTCATCGCTAATGGTTATTGATTATTAAGTCTGTTTTTATGTGTACGTACATGTAAAATGTCTTCGTATTGGGTTGATGGTTCGATAATTTATAATATAGGCTATTAAAGTGTGTTATTGTTCATTTGTAAGAATCCATGAGGGCGGGATAAAAAGGGCATTTGTGTTGCATTTCTTTGTATATTCTGAAGACTTTACACGGCAATTTCGGGTCGTTATTTGCTTAAAATCGAAGCAGAAACGTGATTTTGATTAAAGCTATTTCTCAATCGGTGGATCGCGAACTATATTTCTCAGTTATGTCAAGATTTTCTAACACGCTGAAAGAAGATGCCAAGTAAAAGAATGTTGAAAAATGACGTTCTGAAGTATTATGGTGGGATAGAAGAATTAAAATTCCGATAAAATGTAGTATGATATATGTTTACAAAGATAAAAATATGAATTTAGAAAGGTTAAAAATAAATTTTAAGGAGAGTTTTAATGGAAACGCATCCCTCTTTTTTCTGAGATTTTCCAGACAATTTATTAAAAATCTATTAATAGAAACGAATGAGGATTAGTAGGATTTGGTAATGAAAAGAGGTCTAGGAATGTAAATAATCTACTCACCTGTATGAAGCCTTGTGTGCTGTTGAACATGTGACAATTGCTTAAATCGTCGATCGCAATATGAACATTTGTACGGTTTCTCTCCTGTGTGGATTCGGATGTGTTGAGTAAGCTGATGGTTAGAAGAAAAAGACTTCAGACATTGTTGACATTGATGCGGTTTCAGATCTCCGCGATGAACTTCACGAGCGTGATGCTGCATGGCCGACTTATGCATGAAAATCTGTAAAACAAATACGAAACGTCAAACTTCATCTATTTTATGATAAAAATAGTTCGTTGGTCGAAGTACAAAACCCGTTTCGATCACTCGACAAAGGTCTTTACGAGAATATTTATAATTATTGGACGTAGTAAAAGGAAAGAAAGGGAAGAAAAACTTAACATTTTTTGACGTCCGGCATCAAATAGCAGTTTGTGTGTAGTTTATCAATGGAATATCCCAAGTGTTAGTACGAATCTTAAACGTCTTCCATCTTAAACGTCAAACTCAATCAGAAAGTAGATTTATGTTCTTTGTGAGTGCGGCTGTATTTTTTTAATGAGTATGCAAAATTCTTCCATTTAAGAAAGTACGAGCTGTTGGAATCAATTTAGAGTGAAAAACGTTGAGTTTTGTTTTCTGGAAAAGTTTGTTTTCTAAAGAAACAAAATGTCGATACAAAGATAAACAAGGACGACTGAAAATGTTCGATACTATCTCATATTATGCCTATTCTATTATTTATAAAAAGGAATCCAAGCAGATAAAAATCCAGCATTTCTTTATGTATTTTGAAGGGTCTAGGGACTTTACACAACATTTTCTGCAGCGTTATTTGCTTAAAATTGATATAAAAACACTTATATAAAACCAATATAAAGCATTCTCCTAAGTCCTCGTCTCAATTTCAATACTTAAATTCGTGCAGTTTTTTAATTAGAAATCTTATATACAAGGCCTAAATGTTAAATATATTTTAATTACATTATAGAAAACATCATTTTAAACCAAAATGTCTTCGGTTATTTAATGTTCTTTTGCCTTTTATGATGTTTTTGCTTCTATTATCGATGACTAAAAGTATCGAGCGAACTGCACTTGGCGACTGAGAAATATAAAAAAGTTATAGAGCTTCATTAATGATAATTTATCGGAATAATTCTACAGTTTGGATGATTTCGAATGCAAAAAAAACCGAGAAAATAAAAAGGAAAGTTTATCCAAAAAGCAATAAACTTAATAACAATAACTCTCTCTTTTTTTTTGAATGAGATAAAAAGTACTTGAAGAGAAATTTATAAATTTTAGATAAAATAGAAATTTGTTAGGATTATAACATCGTAGGCCTAAATTTGTAGGTAATTTAATTTGTAAAATACGGCTTAAACAATGATGAATAGAGAGCAGAGTAGTCGGAATGTTAAGTCTATTTGTTAATGTGCCAAAAAAGTAGTATGACCGTTTTTATCTCAATCCATAAATATGAAATACTCGACTAAGAATCTTCTTGAATTCCAAACTGTTGTTTAGCCGAAACTGCAGAAATAAATTGAAATTTTAAACGAGGAATGCTTCATTATAATCATTGTTTCCACAAAAAAAAGAAGTTAAAAATAACATTAAATTCTCAAACAAATTGTGTAAAACAGATGCTTACAAATTAGCCAAGTAGTTAATGTATCATTTTAAAGATTTAGGCTAGCTTTAAACATTATAGGCTACAATCTTGTAACTAATCTCATCTCTTCCACGATAATTTATAGAGATGAGATTATTTAGAACTCTCTTCACATCACCCATACTACACCTAGGCTATAAAGGCCTTGTAGATAGATCTCTTCCTTCCTTTATGATGCAGAAACTCATGAAAGATGAAGGCCTATGCCATTGATTTGCTTCATAAACACCTTAAAAATTTAAATATGTATGTTCTTAATTAAAATCTGTATACTTATTTATCCTATATATTCAACTTAAAAATAGTGATTTAATAGGAATTTATTGTAAAAACTGTATAAAAATAAGAAAAAGATATGTGAAATATAATTATTCTGATGATATAAATTTATAATATATAATTAAAAGTTTTTTAAATGTTATTTTTATAATTAAGGCCTTAGGATTTTACCTTCCAGGCTTATAGTTTAGGAGTATCTGTCTTACAGGATAATTTTAGATGCATTATAAAAGGTTAATTGTATACAAATTTCAATTACGAACATCCGCAAATTAAAATTACACAGATGTTAGGTAAGAACGAGTAACAACTATGCATTAATTGGATTCTATCGTTTAGGCCTCCATCTAAGTTACACCAATTTCTGCCTAGTAAATGAAGGAACAAATTACACAGAATATAATTGTAGGCCTTTGTATCGATGAATTTTAAGGCACAAAATCTAAGAATTTAAGTCTACATTTCTATATTTTAAATAAATTTAATTATCATTAAATAAAATTTTAAATTCTTTATATTTATGAACAGTATTCAAGGCCTATTTGAGTTCCTTTCATAAACCATAATAGGCCTTTTAGTAATTAACTTAAGACATACAATTCTAAATTATTAGAGAGAAAAAATAAAGAAAAAATTTATATAAATAATTATTTATTAAATCAAAAAATTTAAATTATAATCTACATTTATTAATATTAAATATTAATATTATTTTAAAGTCAGGCCATACACTATATTTTTTTAGTGATTTAAAATTATCTTTGAATTAATCTTACACAAGATATGGCCTAATTCTATCCTTTATAAGCTTTTATTTATATTTATTTTGTCTCCTATGATGGCTTAATGAGTGCCATAGAAATATAATAAAAGATATGTAATTTAATCTATTTAAATTCAAATTTTTGGAAATAATTCTAAATTTATGATCTTAAGTCTTTCAATCTTGTTCAGTACCTACTTAGACTTCTAAGATAATCTTATGAGAAGGCATAGAAAGTGGCCTTAGAAAATACGTAATAGGAGAATATAATTAAATCATTTAAATTTAAATTTATTTAGAAAAAGTTCTAAACTTGTGATCTTAAACCTTCCAATAATTTTAAACTCTTATTCTGTATCTATTTTGTCTTCTAAGGCAGTTCTGAGAATGTTATAGAAAGCCTTCTAAGGTTCAAAAATTATTATAAAATGTATTAGAAAGCACATAATTAAATTTTAATTTAAAAAACATAATTCTAAACCTAATGATCCACTTAAATCTTCTAATAAATCTTTGAAAATGCCTTGCATTTATCTGTATTTTTACAAAGTTATACATAAAGTGCCTTCAAGGTACTGTACAGTACACTCAAT